AGGAAGTCGGGTTACAATCATGTTTGCTTAAAACTGACAGGTAGCGGTTCCCTTGCCGACCTCCAGGGGGACCTCACAGGTGCAGACAGGTGTACCAGTCCATTGCTGCGTCTGCACAGGTGCGGGCGGCCTGAGGAGAGCCCTGCATGCGTGTTTATAAGGCACAGCAGGATAGAATGGATGGATGGATGGATGGATGGATGTGCGGTAGGCATCCTTTACGGGCTTTGGGGTTTTCGGGAGCACTCTCGCTCGGCAGGGTGCGGGGGACAAAGTGGAGCGGTCACGGGTGGCGCTGAGGCCGCAGCGGGAGTGACGGGCCGCTGCATCGGGCCCCGGCGGCCCCTCAGCGGGGTAAAAGCCGCCACCACAGCCGGGCTGAATAGCCGCTACCTCACGCTGGGCCGACATAATGTGCCAGTGTAACTGTTTATAGCTCTTTGTCATTCTGAGTATGAACAAGATTAGGTAATGATTTATCCCTCCCTCTCTCCCTCTCTCTCTCGCTCTCTCGCTCCCTCTATCTCCCTCGCTGGCCGCCTCTCTCATTCACGCACACGCTCACGCTCACACACACACTTAGGGCCAGCTGTAGAGGTCGGGGCTCCTTAGCAAGTCAAGTGCCCCCCCCCACCACTCCCCCAACACAATGTTATGCACAGATGGGTCCATAATCTGTCAGTGTTCCTTTATTCTGCATGCATCTGCTGGGCCTCGATGTACTGTTTTATGCAGTCCGCAGCCAGCGAGCCCCTGCTCCCTGAAAAGGCCAGCATCGCTCCCTGCGCAAATAAATTGTTCATTTGTCTCCCCTGCCTTTTGTTTTGCGGGAGGGGGGCACTTGTCAGTAGCTCATTTAGCCTCTTCATTAAGTGCCCTGGAGGACGGGCGGCCGTCCCCTCCACTGGGGCCGTAAACAGCACACATATGGCTAGCCCCGCCCCCCTGGACCCCCCCAGACCCCTCCACATTTCCTAATCTGGGAGGGAGCTGCATTTAAGCCATTCTCCTTAAACACTGCAGTCTCTCCTGTCCACCCCCTCCCCCCCCCCAGCAGTCTGAAGGGAAACAAAGTCTCTTTCAGTTGACTCCTCCATTCACCTTTGTACCTTGTTTTGGGGAGGGGGCGAGGGGGCGAGTGGCCCTGATTTGATTGGACAAAGTTTCAGCGAGCCCAGCATGGTGTAAGTACGGTGAGGTGATTTTGGGCCCCCCGGTTGGGGCCCCTGGTTCAGGCCCCTGGTTAGAGTGTCTTCGGTGCCTGCAGCCGCTTTGCGTTTCCGCGCAGTCCGATTCGCTGGGTGGACGGTCGGCCCCGGGATGGAGGTGCGGTGTGACTGCCGGCAGGGTTAGGGCGAATCCGCCCATGTTTAGCCAGGAGTGAAAATGCAGGAAGCCTCCAGGGGGAGGGGAGGGCTTCTCTGCATGGGGTTCGATGGAAGGCGGAGCCAGAAGTACACACAGGGGCTGCCCCACGTGGGATTTTCTGTTATTTGAACACATTTAAAACCAAGGTCTGTCTGCTCTGTCAGGCCGGCCCATGGAAGTAATGCTGGGTGTCTCTGCTGCGTGGCCCAACTGAGGCCAGTGCAACTCCATGCAGGTTATGCCGGGGGGGGGTGGGTGGGGGTTGGGTCCTAATCCTCAGTACCTCGAGGGGGCCGGTGTGCAGGGTTCGAGTGCAGATCCTGTAGATGCCAGGATAGCAGAGGTGGATTTGGAGGGCTGGGGGGGGGGCAGTTTCATTCTTGTTAGTGCCCTCCAGTAAGAGATATAGATACATGGGGGGGGGGGGTCGTGCACATATGAGGGGCTTCCAGAGTGGGAGGGCTGTTCTCTACTTCATCAGCAACGCACAGATCTAGGCAGCTGCAGACTGCCCCCCCGCCATGTGCCCTCCGTGTGGATGGTCAGGTGATTGTGGGGCCCGCGCTCTCTGTCCTGCGAGTCACCACGCCATGATCTATGCGGGCAGGACGCCGCCGCTGTTGGCCACGGCAATATGTGGAGAAACCCGTGAGGAAGAAAAAGGCCGGAATGAATGGAAGGCAGACGAGGAGAAGGAGAGAGGCCGCGTGAGGGGAATGGCGGCGATGGAGGGGAGAGGTGAATTTAAATAACAGAACAACAGAGCCCCTCCCCCTGCCCCCTCCCCCAATTTCAGGTGCTCCCATACTCTCCTCCTGGCTGTGGAGGAAGGTTTTGGGGAGCCCCCGCTGTGGCCCGTCGCCCCCCCCCTCCACCGCCCCCCCGGCCCCCGCGGCCTCTCTCCGGACCCCTTTTTGTCCGGCGCTCCCCTGCCAGGCAGGTGACGAGCCCCTGAATGCGGGCAAAGGCAGCCTTGACGGATTCCACAGATGGAGCGTGGAAATCGGCAGAATAGCCCTGAGCCACAGGCTGCCGCTCCCAGCATAACAAAGGCAGAGCAAATAACTGCGGAGCGGGACCCCCCCCCCCACAAAAGTGAGACTGTCACTCGCCATTAATGCCGCGTCTATGATGGAGCATCGTCCTCACCGTTACTTTAAGAGAAAAGAGAAGGACGAGTGTGGGAGGGGGGTCTTCAGCACGTGGGGGGGGGGGGGGGGGGGGGGGGGGGGGGGGGGGGGGGGGGGGTGCATACAGTATCCTGACAGAGCTTCTGCCCCTTGGCCCGCACTGCCAGGTCTGGTTTTCTGAGCATGCCTGTGTGTTTGTTTTTTCACGTTAGAAAAGTGTGGAAGAGGGAGATAGAGAGGGGGAGAGAGAGAGGGAGAGGGAGAGAGAGAGAGAGGGTGAGAGGGAGAGAGAGAGGGTGAGAATGCTGCTTTGTTTGCCTTACAGACAAACAAAAACATAATCATATCACACTAATCTTAACTATTTTTCACTGGCTTTCTGTTCAGGGTCAGTTATATAATCTTATTGTTTGTTTCAGTCTCTGAACAGTTTACACCCATATTTTTCCTCCTGATGATTCAGGTGCTGCTCGTGCTGAGGTACAGACTGAAGCTCACAGGTGGCTGTCCCCTCGCAGCTGCCTCCAAGCTTTAGAATAGACTTCCGCTGAGTAGGTCTGCACCGGTCATGTTTAAAGACCCACCTTCTCTCCTTGGCTTTTTAAACCGGCATGAGAGTGTTTATTTTTTGATTTTATGCTGTTTTCCGTATTTATTTGTCCTTTTACGCAAATTGTACAGCACTTTGGTCAGCTGCTGTTTTCAATATGCTTCATAAGTAAAATTTACTTATGAAGCACACAAAATTTACACCAGCTAGGAAGTTCCCTGCATAAATGGAGCGGGGGGGGGGGAGGGGGGAATCAACGCCTCTACAAGCTGTGTGTAAATTAAAATCATCTAAAGAATGGAGTGGGTGTCCCTGCATACCGTCCGGACAGGACCCCGCATATCGGATCTGCTCTGCCGCCCGGAGACGTTGACGCCGGCCCTGGCATTTCCTGGGGAGTCTGGGGGTCGGCTGGGAGGCACATTCCCACCCACGGCCTCCGTGTTTTAATTAAAGCTCTAAATCTGACGCTGAGCCCAGCCCCGCCTCTGTCCCGCCCGCTTGCGTTCTCTCTCTCTCTCTCTCTCTCTCTCTCTCTCTCCATCAGCTCTCTTTTCTCCTTCACCTCATCACTCCCCAGCACCCATCTGGCGCCATCTTGGCCCGAGTCGCGTCTATCCGGTTTCGTGCTCTCTGGCGCCCCCTATCACATCCACACCCAGGGATGGCCCTTCTGGCTTCTTCGGCAGTCGTTCTTGGAGACTCACTGGGAATTGTGTGTGTGGGGGGGGGGGCTTCCCCCCACAGCTCCGGTGCTCGTGTGCCCCCCGCTTAGCACTTTCGTTTTCATGTATTAACAGTCTCCTGCCAATGTGCCCACCCCCCCCCCCCCATTTCCCCCGAAAAGATGAACAGGGAGAGAGAGGGGATCAGTTTCACTTGAGGAGACCCAAACTATTGGGGCTCCTTGTATGTTATTGTTGGTGCTGAACAGCGCTGGCCCCCACCATCCATCCCCCCCACCAGAGCATAACTGCACTGTATACACAACCAAACACGGCTTGCCAAGTACAGCCGCCCTGCCTTAGAACCCCATCAGACCGCTGCACAAAGCCAGCGCGTTCAGATATGCAATTGCAGGCGGGCCCCCCCCTGTGGGGCCCCGAGGCAGGCAAGGGCCATCGGCAGACGCTGGGGACTGTGAAAGGCTCCAGTGGCGCAGTTGGGGGACAATGGCCCCCGTCATGGTGCTCTGAGAACCCTAATCATTTTTTAATAGACTTAGCGGCTTGGGGGGGGGGGGAAGGGGGCGGGATTCACAGTCTTTTCTGGTGAATTACCCCCGAAAGGCGCTATGGCTTTCTCCCCCCTAAAACTGAGCAAACAGTCCATGGGCACCTGCCTGGGGGGGTGTGTGTGTGGGGGGGGGCGCTTGCTGGCCTTTTATTAATTATTGTCCTTGTAGCTCACTCAGCTTGAGCAAAACTGGATTTGTAAGGGTGGCATAGTGCTGCACGGGGGCCCGGTCATAACCGGGACTTCGTCTGCCCAATCGAATATGAGCACCTTGGAATCTTGTCGGGGGGGGCTTTTTAAAAGCAGGGAATATTCCAGAACAATGAATGTCTGGTAGCACACTCGATTGGCACTGCCGTGTCCCCCCGGAGGAGGTCTGGGACAGGGGGCCATTGGCCACAGTTCCTCAGCTCCCCCCTCATCCTCCCCCACTGCCACCACCCCTGTTTACCTCCATGACTGAACTGTTTAAATTCTGATGTTCCTCAGGCAGCATGAAATTATTTTAATTTGTTCTTATTTTCTCTCGTTTCTTAGTTTGCTTTAATTTTTGTTACCATTTACATTATGGGTTGAAATTCTTAGCATGTCACTGTGAGATCAGTGGTTCGAAGGTACGACAGACAGCCCTGTGCTGGGAACACGCCTCGTTCCTGTCTGTTCATCTAACTCAGCCTGAGTTTGTGCTCACTGAGCCGCGCCCCTTTCCTCCACAGCCAGCCAATCAGACGAGGGCTCGGAGGTGGAGTCAGAGCCGGACCTGCCCCTAAAGCGGAAGCAGCGCCGCAGTCGCACCACGTTCACAGCGGAGCAGCTGGAGGAGCTGGAGCGCGCCTTTGAGCGCACGCACTACCCCGACATCTACACGCGCGAGGAGCTAGCGCAGCGAGCCAAGCTGACCGAGGCCCGTGTGCAGGTACCTGGAGTAGGCGGGGCTCTGGCCAATGTGGAAACACCACCATGCTGGGCTATAGGTCTCTAATCAGAACAAGGATAATTAGTAATATATATTTACACACCTAACACTTGTGTAATATAGTCCCAATGTGCTGGTTTCTCATGCACACACACCTGATGACGCTGTCCTTAAGTGTCCTCTGCAGGTCATGCCCCCCCCCCCACCTCCTTGACCCCTGACCCCCACCTGCCCATAAACCCCATGCCTCCCTGATGGCCCAGCTGGGCTATACACACACACACACACACACACACACACACACAGAGGTTTGTAATTATAACTTTGTGGGGACTCTACATTCATTTATATGGGGAAATCTCTAATCCCAACATGATGACCTTAACCCCTACCCAGCCCTAACCAAACAAAATACAAGACTTTTGACATTTTTAGTTTTTTGATTGCATCCACAGATCTTTGTGAGGACGTGAAAGTGGTCCCCACAATGTTAAAAAAAAAAGTTTTTATTACATTTTGGGGGACATTTGGTCCCCACAATGTAATACAAACATAATGCACACACACACAAAGACACACACACACACACACACACACACATTTCTGGTCTCTCTATCTCCCAGGACCCCAGTCTGTATCACCAGGCAGCTCCGAGCTGCAGGCCAGCACATTCCCAGCAGCAGCTAACATATGGGCTTTTACTGACCCAGCATGGTGTCCGTAGGTCAATCCATCACACAGAGCAGCAGGAGCCAATCAGGGTGCAAGGCAGTGCAGCGGGGGAGGGCCTAGCTGTCACCCCGCCCCAGCCACATCTGCTCCTCTGTCTTTAAACAATCCCGCTAATCATAGAAAATGTCACACACAATATATTTTTTACATTTCACCAAATGTTTACATTTTTCCAGAAAAGCAATATCTTGATTTGATCTTCTTTCTGCACACGTTTGATGTTATGTCGTGGTTGTGGGAATTATAAAATGCCACATAGATTCCAGCAGAAACAGTTTAATAGGCACAATGTGCCTGTTTCCCAAACCCAGCCTTAAGCATAGCCTTCTCTTGCAATTTCTTGGAAATTGATGACTGATTTGCTGGCTTCGGGTGGGGGCGGGTGTCACACAGGCTCCCATCTGAGCTGAACCGTTCATCACACTTGTCACATGACCGTGCTGCTCGGAGAGCTGATGTCACGGCCCTTGCATCCTGGCCAAAGTTGAGCACATTCTTGTCTGATTTGGTCTCGGGTCAGAGAGCGCTTTTCCACTGCACCAAATACTGTACTTTTGGTACTTTCGCTTTTCCATTGACTTCCGGTCGAGTACCAATACCAGAAGTTCCAGTACCAAAAGTGCCAAACCAGCTGGAGTACTTCTTTGGTACTTTGGGTGAGACTTAGAAACGCTTTCTTTGTCGATTGGTTATGCAGATGGTCCGCTGCTGAAATACAATACAAAATCAGAAAACAACGAGAAACGAAGTTAAAAAAATAATTAATTGTGGTCTGGCCGGAAGAACAGATACAATAAAAAGATCTGAATTGTTTGACTGACAAGAAATTTAAAAAGTATTATTATATTCTAGGACAGCATGCATATAGTGTGCTGCCTTAGCAGTATGATTTTGTTGTAAACATAGTGTAAACTTTAAACTGATTTTTAAACATATAGGCTACTAGATCATCTTGAAAAGGAATAATAATTAAAATTGCAAAGCTAGCTAAGGTTTTTTTTTCTATGAGAAAGCAAAAATGTTTTAGCGAAACTTAAACTCCCTGCGCTACAATATCCGTATATAGAACTGAAAATAAGAAAAAGTCTGATCTTTATCTAGAAGACTGATGATATAAGAATTGAATGTGCGTAAAATGCGATGTTGATATTAATATTACACGTCGTCCAGCCCTTTAATTAACCATTTTCAAATTCAGTACAAAATACCATGCCTCATGTTGTGATGTCTTTCAGCGCTGGTACCAGTTTTTACGCCAGTGGAAAACCAACACTTTGAAGTACTGTACTTTTGGTACTTTCTTGAAGTACATGAAGTACGGTACCAGGTGCAGTGGAAAAGCACCCAGAATGGTGGTGGGGGGGCACTCACAGTCACATTGTCACCAAACGGCAACATGACTCCAGGAACTCTTGACAGCAGAGGGAGACCCCCTTTCATTTCAATATACCGCAATTAGATAGCAACATGCACTTGTGGTTGGGGGGGCGGCTATCTTGCTAATCTGTCTTGTTGATCTTGTGCTTGTTCATCTGGCTTGATAGGCTGCTGCTGCTTTCTGACCCTCACCCCCCCCCTGTAGAGTGTATATTTATCATGTCAAACTGATCATCCAGGAAACTTTACTATCCCTTTCGTAGCATGAATTTTGACACGCTCCCTGCCACCGGCTTGCTTCTCACTGATCGGACGTCTCTCCCATTAGGTCTGGTTCAGCAACCGGAGAGCCCGGTGGAGGAAGCAAGCAGGAGCCAATCAGCTGATGGCATTCAACCACCTGATCCCTGGGGGGTTCCCACCCTCGGCCATGTCCAGTCTGCCGCCCTATCAGCTGTCAGACAGTCCATACCCCCCGACGTCCATAGCGCAGGGTAGGAAACGTCCCTATGCTGTCTGTGCTTTGACCTGATCCAGTCACATGCAGTGACCCCCTGTCCCCCCAGCTGAAATCGGATCTCAGCCTTGATCCCTGCCATGCCCCCCCCCAGTCCCCTTTAATCAACCGTCCCTCCCTAATTGGACCACTTAAACCCTGTGTAGGGTCATTGACTCCAACAGTCCCGTAAAAGGGTGGGGATATGTGTGTCGGGGCCGGATGGCCGGGGGGGGGGGGGGGGCGGGGGGGGGGTTACAGGCGGGTTAATGTCCATCAGACCATCCCCATTCATGTGGCGTCTGCTGTTCCCCTGTCCCCCCTGAAATGATGATTCGCACCCTCCAGCGGTGGTGTCGGAGCCGGCGGGCACTGTCCATCGGCCGCAGCCATTGCCCCCCACGTCGGTGCACCAGGGGGGCCTGGCCACGGGGGCCGGGGCCCAGGAGGGCGCTGCTGCCTACTGCCTTGCCTCTGGACGGCACAGCTTCACCGGCTACTCAGACAGCTTCGTACCCCCTGCCAGCCACTCGAACCCAAGCATCAGCAATGGCCTGTCACCCCAGGTGAGCCTGCAGATGAACCAACGTGCATGCAGACACCAGCACACACACACACACACACACACACACACACACACATCCTAAAGCACATGTGTGACCCCCTCCATGCAGGTTCCTGCCGCTTGTTTCCTTTCGGGATGGTGATGAATTCATTCCCCAGCCTGATCGGCACTTTCTTTCCATAAAAATGTCACGCATGTGCTGCTTAAGGTGGAGTGGGGTGGGGGGGGGGGGGGCTGCCAAGGAGCAGGGAGGGGCATGGCAGAAGGGGCCGCATTGATGCAAATGAAACCTGAAAGATGATTATAGCTAATTACACAGTCACTAGTGCCTCACGGCGCCACCTATGTGGCAAGGCCTGCGTAACATAACAGGCAGAAAATGAGATTTTAATGCCACAAAAGGGGGCCCATGGAGCGAGCCCCCCGCCCCCCACCCAGCATGGAGGAGCCCGATACCATGGGCCCATGGGGTGGCAGAGTCCTCTGGGCATACAACCCACAACAAGACGGATGGGAGTTAGCCACTTTTCCTCCAGTTCTGGTTCTGGCTACTCTCCCCTGTATCCTTGACCCGCCAGGCTGCTGACCCCCCCCACTCCCCATTTGTTATGTCTGTTTGACGCGAGGCCCCTTTGGGTGTCTGAGCAAACTGCCCGCTGTGATCGGGGCGTGAGCCTCTCTAATCTGTTTGTTTAGCACTGGGTTGCATTGGGCTGCTAAGTGCCTGTTTGTTTTTGCTGGATTAATGGCTAAAGGGCCATCTGTGGACAAGGCCCCTGCCGGGGCCACTTCGGGGCCCGTGGCCTCATTGCCCCATCAGCCTCCTGCCGGGCCCTGCTCTCTCAGATCAGGCATTCTTTCAGACAGCCCAGCACTGGGAAAAGACCACTTTGGCTCTAGATGAGCAATTAAGTGATGTTCCAGCGTGGAAATTGATCATGAGTGGAAACAAGGGCCCTGTAATGTCGTGTGAAATGTATGCAGATTGCTCCCTATTTTGTGGTTATTTTCCCGTTTATACATTTATGGCTGTAGATGAGAGCGCATCGTCGATTGGTCAATGTGTAGCCTGACATTTTCTAATTTGCGTATGAGATGAGATATTTATAAGCATTTTAATTAAAAGATAACATACATTTAAGGGGAGTTGTAATGTATTCCGGCTGTCGTTATCATCTTAGATGAACTAATTTTAAATAAGGCTTAGAAATCATCGTCTTGGAAACATCATTCATTTTGGGCACAATAACAAGGCTAATACATGTCTGTAAGGGGCGTGTCTATAAGGGGTGTGTCCATGAGGGGGATGTCTGTAAGGGGGTGTCCATAAGGGGTGTGTCCATGAGGGGGATGTCTGTAAGGGGCGTGTCCATGAGGGGGATGTCTGTAAGGGGCGTGTCCATAAGGGGTGTGTCCATGAGAGGCATGTCTGTAAGGGGCGTGTCCATAAGGGGTGTGTCCATAAGGGCCATGCCTGTAAGGGGCGTGTCCATAAGGGCCATGCCTGTAAGGGGCGTGTCCATAAGGGGTGTGTCCATAAGGGCCATGCCTGTAAGGGGTGTATCCATAAGGGGTGTGTCCATAAGGGCCATGCCTGTAAGGGGCGTGTCCATAAGGGGTGTGTACATAAGGGTCATGCCTGTAAGGGGCGTGTCCATAAGGGGCGTGTCCATAAGGGGTGTGTCCATAAGGGCCATGCCTGTAAGGGGCGTGTCCATAAGGGGTGTGTCCATGAGGGGCATGTCTGTAAGCCGTGTGTCCACAAGGGCCGGGTCTGTAAGGGGTGTGTCCAATAGGAGCATGCCTGTGATGGCCATATTTGTAAGGGGCGTATCCAGTCACATGGACCCTAATATGCGCATAACTGACCTGAGTGTGGGACCTGAAGGTAAATTCCTGGGCTGAGGTTCAGCAGTGCTGCCACACTCATGGAGATGGACCCCTCCCACCATGTCGCTTTGTGCCCTCAGCCCCCACTCTAACAGGCCCAAAGCAGACATGCTTATGGAGTATTTATGGGAAGGAGCGTCCTGCCTGCTCATTGATCCGCTTATCAGCCTGAGTCTGTGTGTGTCTGTGTGTTTGTCTGTGTGTGCCTTTTCTTCTCTGTTCACTCCCTACCAGAACGCTGCTTCACTGCTACTCGTCTTCCCTGCCCCCCAATGCCTTCTCATCTCCCTCCGCCCGCCTGTCTGATGAATGGGTTGTCTGACCTACATGTGTTTCCTATTTGTAAGGAACAGACCACGTTCCTCTTCAGGGGCATTTGTGATGATTCTCTGACAGAGCTCCTGTAAATTACACGCAGTCGTTGGGTGAGGCTTCGAGGTGGAAAAGCATCTCGCCCTCCCCCACTTCCCACGGTGGGAGGGTGCCCATATTTGTACTGTTCCTCCATCTACTTTTCCCTATCCTCCCTATACTTTCCCTTTTCCCTATACTCGTGTAGCAAACTCAACCCTGCAGTTGTTTTGTCCAGTAGATCACCATTTTCAACATCATGAGGTCACACATGCTGAGCTGACGACTGTGGGACCTCTGACTTTGTAAAGAAGGAGTAAACCCAGTCACCTCCCCGCTCACACCAGTCACCTCCCTGTTCACACCATCCAGCTCCCCGCTCACACCATCCAGCTCCCCGCTCACACCATCCAGCTCCCCGCTCACCCCATCCAGCTCCCCGCTCACCCCATCCAGCTCTCCGCTCACACCATCCAGCTCCCTGTTGACACCATCCAGTTCCCCATTCACACCATCCAGTTCCCCGTTCACACCATCCAGCTCCCTGTTGACACCATCCAGCTCCCCGCTCACCCCATCCAGCTCCCCGCTCACCCCATCCAGCTCTCCGCTCACACCATCCAGCTCTCCGCTCACACCATCCAGCTCCCCGCTCACACCATCCAGCTCCCTGTTGACACCATCCAGTTCCCCGTTCACACCATCCAGTTCCCCGTTCACACCATCCAGTTCCCCGTTCACACCATCCAGCTCCCTGTTGACACCATCCAGCTCCCCCTCACATCATCCAGTTCCCCGTTCACACCATACAGTTCCCCGTTCACACCATACAGTTCCCCGTTCACACCATACAGTTCCCCGTTCACACCATCCAGCTCCCCCTCACATCATCCAGTTCCCCATTCACACCATCCAGTTCCCCGTTCACACCATCCAGCTCCCCCTCACACCATCCAGTTCCCCGTTCACACCATACAGTTCCCCGTTCACACCATACAGTTCCCCGTTCACACTATCTGGCACTTTTTCCACACCTGGCAGGTAATTCCTCTCCCCTTCAAATCTGGCATCCTGAATCCCCAACATCCAATCTATGCAGGAAGCACAGTGAGGGCAGAATGCTTTGCTCAGCCTGTCTTTAGCCAGATATATACATTTCTGTGTAACTTGAAAGTTTCAAATACAGATAATTTTTTAGGAAAATGTTACCAGGGTCAAGAAACACAACTCCATCTTAAAATCAACATTAGTCCTTCTGTCCTTAGGTTGGAAAATGATTTAAGGGGAACCATCTGTCTGGATGACTGTAGAATAATATGTCACTTATAAGCAAAACCAAGAGGGGGCATTTTTTCCATCATACCTGCTTTTGATTAACTATTAGTAGGAAGGAGAGCCATGTTTTCTCCGTGCATTTAAGGTAGTGGTACTTTGGGGTTTTTATGTTGATTCTCAATGAAAACATCCTGAGTTAAAGGCATTCCCTGAATGGGGGGGGGAGATATTTTCTGAAGATAAACTTAATGAATTTTGGGGACAATGTGAATGTGGACACCAGCACCCCGTCCCCCCAGGCTGCTTTCATCCGCTAAGCGGCAAGGAATATTTCCCAAATTTGATTATCTCGCAGCTAATCAACTACAGGGCAATGCCTGACACACACACATATATATATATACACACACACACACATGCATACATACATGCATGCATACATACATATTTGCGACCAGCAGGTAGGATCACGCGGGCCGGATTTGATTTCTTATCAGACAGTATCGCTCTCATGGTGACACTTAAATGCCGGCTTGACGCCCCATTATGCTCCAGACAAATTGTATGATTCCAGTTTCCTGCTGGCTTTACTTTGTACCCGGGGCCCAGAGTAACGGTGATCCATAGTGACCCGTAATGAGGTTCACAGCGGGGGACAGAAGGGGAGCGCCCCCCTCAGGCCACCGAAGGCAACAAAAATCATGAATGTAATGCAGGACACTTGGAGCACCCCAGATCAAAATGTCTGACCCAAACTGAAAGGAACACATACATGCACATCCCAACATCACGATCTTAACCGTTACCCAGCCCTAACCTTAACCATAAGTAAGCAAACTAAATACGAGACTTTTGGCTTTTTTAGTTTTTTGATTGGATTGACAGATCTTTGTGGAGACCTGGGAGTTCCTACCACACACACACACACACACACACATGCACAGACATATACACAGACATAGACAGACAGAGAGAGACACACACACACGCACAGACAGATACATAGACATAGACAGACATAGACAGACAGAGAGACACACACACACATGCACAGACAGATACACAGACATAGACAGACAGAGAGAGACACACACGCACAGACAGATACACAGACATAGACAGACAGAGAGACACACACACACACGCACAGACAGATACACAGACATAGACAGACAGAGAGACACACACACACACGCACAGACAGATACACAGACATAGACAGACAGACACACACACAGACAGATACACAGACATAGACAGAAAGACACACACACACGCACAGACAGATACACAGACATTGACAGACAGACACACACACGCAGAGTCACATACACACACAGAAGCACACTTGTCAAACGTTGCCCTCACACCCCCCCGCCCTCCGTTTCCCCCGCAGGTGATGGGCCTGTTGAACCCAGGCGGCGTCCCCCACCAGCCGCAGAGTGACTACGCCCTGTCCCCGCTCACCAGCAGCCTGGAACCCAGCAGCAGCATGGCAGCCAGCTGCTCACAGCGCCTGGAACATATGAAGAGCCTGGATGGCCTGGCCAGCCTGCCCCCCCTGCCCCCCCTGCCCAGCTCGCAGTCCTACTGCCCCCCGAGTTACAGCTCCTCCGGCTACAGTGTTGAGCCCGTTGCGTCGTACCAGTACGGCCAGTACGGCCAAAGTAAGGTCAATACCCAACCTTTCATTTGCTAAGCCATATATCTGTCTGCCTGCCTGCCTGTCTATCCATCAGACTGTCTATCTATCCACCTGTCGGTTTGTCCATCTGTCTATCTGCTTGCATGACTATCCGTCAGTCTATGCATTTGTCTGTCAATTTGTCTGCCTGAGTGTCCATCTGTCTATCCATCTGCCTGCCTGCCTGTCTGTTCTTCTGTATGCCCATCTCTGTCAGTGTTGTCTGTCTGTCTATCCACCTGTCTATTTGCCCATCTCTATGTGCCAGTCCATCCTTCTCTGTCCTTCCCTCTCTGTCATCTGTCTGGCTTTCTGTCCATCTGACTGTCTATTTCTATATTGTTCGTCTGTCCATCATCTGTCAATTTGTATGTCCATTTGTCTACCTGTCTGTCTATACGTTTCTGTCAGTCTGTCCTTCTGTCTCTCTTCATCTTCTTATTTCTCTCTTTCTTCTGTCCATCCATCTGTGTTGTCTTTCTGTCTGTTTGTCTTTCTGTCTGTTTGTCTTTCTGTCTGTTTGTCTTTCTGTCTGTTTGTCTTTCTGTGTATACTTTGGATTTGTCAACCATTTGTCAGGAAAAAACTCTCTAGGTATATTTCTTAGGTAAACTGTACCTCAGTAAATACCGGTGTATCAAAATGCTGAGTATGATTAAGAAAGTAATTGTAAGGGTGCTTTTCCATTGCATCAGGTACCATACTTCGTGTATTAAAAATTCAGTACTTCCCTTTTTCCATTGATTTCCAGTCAGGGACCAGTACCAAACCAGATGGGGTACTTTTTCTGTACTTCGGAGTGCAAATATATGTATTGTCAATTAGTTATACAAATAACCTGCCTTGCAAACACAAAGTACATCTGCCACCCGAACCTAGTTACCTTCTCAGAAAACAATGATGAACCAAATAAAAAATAAGTAATAATAAAGAAGCCATGGACAAATGAAGAGAGCCAAGCTTTAATTACAATCTGGTAAAAATGACAGATTCATTAGATGTGGATGTCATGACAAGATATAAAAAAGTATTTGATATTTACATTCTGACTGCATGACACTGCAAAATTTTCAAATTTCGCGATGTGATTTTGTTGCAATAAATATTTATAAAGCAAAAAAGGAGTTAAAAATGAATAAACCTCACACAAACCTACCTAGGAATGGTTTAAACAGCAAAGTGAACATGGAACTGGATGGTGTGAAAATGATTACGATTGGCTGGAAAATCACATGCAGCGTTCATGCAAAAGTTTATTTTTTAAACATAAACTAGATGATCTTGAAAAGAAACCATCATGAAAAATGCAAAGCTGGCTAAGGTTTGTTTCCTATGAAAGAGTAAAAATGATTCGGCTAAACATAACCCCCCCATGCTAAAATGTCCAGACAGTATGAAAAAGCTTGATCTCAACCCTGTTGCGGTCCCCGCAATGTATGAATTGCATGTTCATAACATGCGATGTTGGTATTAATTTCATACATCGCTCAGCCATATATATACTACAGCCATTATTAAAATACCCCGTCTCATGTTGTGATGATGTCATTCAGTGCCGGTATCAGTTTTTATGTCAGTGGAAAACAAACACAAGAAGTTCTGTACTTTTTTGAAGAACCAAAAGTGCAGTATCTGGTGCAGTGGAAAAACACCCTAATTGTCAGGTAATCTGTAAATGGCAAGAGTCCCCGACACTGAAAAAGCAGAAGTAATTTATGTCAGGTAACAAAACGAATTATAGTTACACAGGTGGGTGACATTTTGAAAGAGCCCAGTGCATTATGGATACATCAGCTCCGATTAGCGTCATATTAATGTCAGGAGGCAAACGTCATCAGCACCGTGATTGCAGCCCTGTGCTTTAACCCCTCATCCCCCCGCGCGGGTGTCCCGGTGTCCATATCGATCGGATCAGTCATCCAACGACCCCGCCGTGGCCGGCCATCCATGAAACGACCTTAAGGCAGCCGGCTCACGAGTCTCCGCCTCGGTGTTCGTCGGCCGAGGCTTCGCTGTCTCCTTCGGCCCGAATCCCGGCCCTGACATCTTGATATCATTAATCACTGCGACCTGATACCCACGTGCTGCCTACGTTGGCGGTGAGCTAAATAGCCCGTGGCAGGCCGCGATTGGAAACACGTGCTGGCAGCAGGGGTCGGCCAGGGAATCAGCGGCGACCACCGGCCCACATTGCCGGGGTGTTGTCAGACCTAATAGGATAAACATTAGCCCCCGATCTGGCCACCACACTTCCCGGGAACCTAGACGTGGCTGCCTCCGAGACCACCTTCTCTAAGACCTTCCTCCTGTAAGACCTTCATCTCTGAGAGCTTCTCCATTTTTGTTCTTCTCTCTCTTTCAGGTGCCTTTCATTATCTGAAGCCTGAAATTGCCTGAACAGAAGTGTCTCCAAAAGTCAGCTCGTCGACCCCCCCCCCCCCCCCCCTGCTTTACTCCTGGTTCTGAGTTCTTTGGGTTTGTAGGTGGGAGGGGTTTTGGGAGGGGGGTGGCTGAGTGGGGCAGGGACGTGCTCCAGCTGGGTACATGGACAGACGGCTGATTCATCTAATCAGGGGGGGGGGTTGCTCTCCAGTTACCAGGCTCTGGACTGAGCTGCTTCACATCACGCATTGAGGACCAGGCTGGTCCATGTGGGGGATGAAGGTGAGAGAGGATGACATCAGAACAAACTCAGGGCCTCCCCCTGTTTGATTTCCATGAATAACAGAGATGCCACTGAGGACACGTTTCCTCAAGATGTTTGTGTAAGGCCAGCCTGGAGGGGGGGTGCTACCCACAGAACCCAGGACTACGTAGCAGGAGGCAATGGAGCCAAACATATTCCTTCATACTGCTAAGCAGGGCTTCCCCACCTAAGAGACCTTTTACACAGGACCTTAGTAAGAAGCGGACTCTGCCCTCCCCCATGGGTGGGACAGGGGGCGTTATGCTGGAGACCTCGACGCAGCCATGGATGGACGCGCCACGATTATGCACTGAAAACAAAAACCAGAAACTGAGCAGCAGAAGACAAATGTTTACCACGGCTTAATGACGACTGAGGAGCGACAGTGTTCAAGCCAAAAGATATGGGGGGGGG